TCTTTGCTTCCTGCCAAGATCCATCTAACATTAGCTCTAATATCCCTAGTACCATGACCTCTTCTAAATCCAGCCAGCACATCTGGCAGTTCTCTGTTGACATATTGTTCCAAACGTTTTTGGATAATTTTCAGCAGAATCTTGTTTGCATGTGATATTAATGATATTATTCGATAATTTCCACACTCTGTTGGCTCATCTTTCTTTGGAATGGAAACAAATATAGATCTCTTCCAGTCAGTTGGCCAGCTGGCTGTTCTCCCGATTTCTTGGCACAACTTAGTGTGCACATCCAGGGCAGTGTCTGTTTGTTGAAATACGTCTATTGATTGGTATGCCGTCAACTCCTGGAGCCTTGTTTTTTGCCACTTCCTTCAGAGCAATTTGAACTTCCTCCTTCCTAACCGTAGGCCCTTGCTCATATGTTATTTCATGACATTCTTCTGTGTCAGCCAGCTCCTTCTGATACAGTGACTCTGTGTATTCCTTCCGTCTTCTCTTGACATTTCCTGGACCATTTAACATTCTATCCAAAGTATTCTTAAGTTTTGCCACCTGTGGTTTGAATTTGTTTTTCGGCTCCTTCAGCTTAAGAAACACTGAGCAAGTTCGGCCCTTTTGATTTTCTGTCTCTAGCTCTCTATTAATATTCATAACTATTATAAAAAGAAAATTAGTTGTTATTATTGCCATACTTTTAAAATGTTTATATTACATTGCTAAACTCTTATCTCTCTACAATCAGAAATTTATGGTTAACATATATGAGAAAACACAAAACTAGCCAATATAGGCATTTAAACAGTAATACAAATGATGTAAAAGATGTCCATCAATTTTATAGAAACATTATACCATTTAATTGAAACTGCAGAGATTTATTTTGTTAAGTCAGACCCGGGTGTGAGTTTTGTAGTATGAAGGGAATCTCCTTCTGTGTGATTACTTCCTCTTAAAACCCACTGATGCAGCCGCTGTGAGTTGGTTCCCACTGACGGGTCAGCTATGAGTTGGTTCTGACCTGATGGTACATAACGACAACAGTGTTAGTTGCAGGAGCTAGCATGTGATTGGAATGAAAGTATCATGTTATGGGGATTATATGACAAGGAAAGCACTGTCAAATAATACTTTCAACTATATTTTAAAATAGTTGTGCCAAGGCTGAGAATTCTATTATACATGCATTTTCTTTTTTTGTACTGTTTTTATAGGGCGCTCTGGTGGCCTGTGGTTAAAAGACTTAATTTATATATGACAGTATTGGGTTTTTCAAGTCTATGATTTTGCTATAAAAAGCAACGATAGAAAGTTTTATATTTGTTAATTAGTAATTTAATAAATTTCAGTTAGATAAATGAGTAGAACTCATTATTCTCTTGGCAGGTTGAATAGTGATGGGTTAAACTGATGTTCACTTTGTGAAACAAGCGTTGAGTGCTGGGATGTAGTTATGGACTTCACAGAGGTCTTTGGCAGTTAATAATTTATGCCTAAACCATAATCTCAATGTGTATGTGAAAGAGGAAAGGTGCCACTTTCATTTCAGGTTTGTATTGTCTTCTTTCTGTCTAGATTGTATGCTGGGCCTGAAGTTGACATCTGGAGCTGTGGAGTTATTTTGTACGCTCTTCTGTGTGGCACCCTCCCGTTTGATGATGAGCATGTTCCAACATTATTTAAGAAGATTCGAGGAGGAGTTTTTTATATCCCAGAGTATCTCAATCGTTCTATTGCTACTCTCCTGATGCATATGCTGCAGGTGGATCCTCTGAAACGTGCAACCATCAAAGACATAAGGTGACTGCCAGCTCCTTTTGTTACTGTTATATATCTTTTATGCTGCTAATGTTGCTGTTGAGTTGACCAACTAATAGCTGACCCTCCAGCAGCTGGTTTTTAGAGGCTGTGATGTCACACATCAGATGGGAGATTGCCCATCTTCCCTCACAGAACAGCTGATGGATTCAAATTGCCTGCCTTTGGGTTGGCACCACTAATTATGTACCTATTTTTATGCTAGACTCTGTAACACATCATTTTGTAGGGATTTTGCGTGTTAGAAAAACCTGATCATGTCACTCATTTCTTCATTACTTTAGATTGTCACTCCCACTTTATTGTCTTGTTTCCCTTGCTCCTCACCACGCTCCTTGTTCCAGTCCGTCAGCCATTTTGGAATCGTCCTTGGGCTTTTTTTTGAACATATAATTATGCTGCCTTCATGCATTTCTTTATTTTATTCCCTTTACCTCTGATCAGTTGTTTTCAGGTTTGGTGGGTTTTTTGCTTGGGTTTTTTTAAATTTTTTTTTAACCTTCTTAAAACTGGTAAATTTTCATTCACCCTTTATAATTCTGCTCCGGTAACACTCCCATCATAAAACCATCCCTGATTGCCCAGCCATTCAGGTTGTTTCTACTTTCACTGTTATATTGTATCTAGTTATTTCTTAATCTTTCATTCTCCTCTCTTAGGGAACTACTTAAGGGTTGAGAGTGTAGTTACTTGTGTGTATATCTCCCATCAGAAGGGATACACTGTAACCTCAGAGAATGCTTTTCATTTGAATTCATTTGAATGAATTTCAAATAGAAATTGGGATGTGTAAATATTATTAGGTATGGTTGATGAAATAAAGCACCAGAAGTTTTCACTAAGTTTCTGATTCCAAGAACAGTTGCAAATGGGTTTATAAGGAACATCTCCGGTAATGTGAGAAGCTTTGAAAAGGCAGTTGCTCGTACTGTGGTGACTCTGACCTTTTTATAGCACACTCAAGCCAGGATGATTCATGCCATGTTTCTTAGAGGTTTTCTTGTTCTTATCTGCCATTTCATCAGATATTTGTTTACAAACACATTCTTTGAAATCTTTCCAGATTCTATTTACTTTTCATCATGAACCAGACTATTTTGAGGCTTTGGATCCTTAGACTATTTAAGTGATAGCTTAGGTAGTTGTTTATGTGACGGCTGCCAGCCTCTTTTGTAAGCATGGACTAGTTCCTTTTCCATTTATGTATCTTTTTTCCTCCTTTCTTCTTCTGTGCCTCATACATAAATATATGAAACTGTAAATTAACATGTGATTTGGTTACGGGAATGAATACATGGGAAAAAAATCCTTTGTGTTCACAGTTCTTGCACCTGCTTGTATCAACATACACATTTAGGCTTGTAAGAGGTAGTAGGGATAGAGATGTGTCAGAGATGGTGAGATGGGCACAGGTTAGGCAAAGTTTAGAGCTATTGTACATAGGGTCGCTACTTCTTGGAATATAGAGGTAAACAAAATGTATATTTTTGTATGGAAATTGTTTATTCTTTCCAGTCCCTTAATTTAGTTGTTTTGTTCTTGTTGGATATCAGCAGTTGGTTCCACCATCTATTGACCTTATTTACAGCACAAAGAAATCTTTGCCACCCTCACGGTAGTTCCTGTGTTTGAACTGACAGCTGCAGCCACTGTGTAAGTCCATCTAGGACTGAAGGTCATTTCTTTAATGCTTTCTACTTAACCAGTCATGGTGTTGTTTTCCAAAGACTGGTCTCTCCTAAGAATGTATCCAGAATACATGAATATGCTTGCCATACTCACTTTTAAGGATATTTCTGTCATTCTTCCTCCAAGACAGATTTTTTTTTGTTTATTCTTATAGCAGTTTATAATATATTTGGTATTATTTATCTGCAAGATGATTAAAATGCATCAATTCTTCTTTGGTTTTATTTATTGTCCATCTTTTCTGTATGAGGTGATTTTATAAACCAAATATTGGATCACTTTAGTCTTTTATATTTTTATTGAGAATTTGATGAAAGTTTTTAAAGAACTTGGGTTTCCATGTATTCATTATTGCACATTTTCCTCCCTGCCCCCCACCCTCTGCCCCAGTTTGCTTTTTTCTTGGGGAAAAAAGTTATTTCATTGTTGTACAGTCTCCTCCCACTCCCAAGACCACTTTACTATGGAGCTCTTATTCTGGACTCTTGTCATACCAATAATACCTAGTCATATATTCCTTTTAAACAGTTCTCTCCCTATCTGTTTCAATGCCATGTACATTATTTATCCCCTCTTTTCTTTGTTTCCCCCCAATACCCACACCAGTCCTGTTTTATATTATTCACTATTTGTCTTTTTGTGACTGAGATATTTCACTCAGCCTAGTGTCCTCCAGGGTCACCCATTTTGAATAATATTTCATGAATTCTTTGTTTTTCAGTGGTGCATAGTATTCCATCGTGTGAATATACCACAGCTTTTTTACACCCATTTGTTTGTTGATGGGCACTTGGGTTGTTTCCAACTCTGCTGTTGTGAACAAAGCAGCAATAAACATGGGTGTGCACACTTTAGTCTTTATAGTGACATCTTTGCTTTTTAACACTTTAAAGAGTTCTTTTATAGTGTATTTACATAATATAATATATTTGACTTCTTGACTGCTCTTTCTTTGGGCATTGATTGTGGATCTGAGTAAAATTAAATCCTTGACAACAATATTTTCGATTATCAGAGTATTACTTATTGGCCCAGTTGTAAGAATTTTTATTTTCTTTATATTGGAATGTAATTCATATGGAAACTTGTAGTCTTTGATTATCAGTAAGTGCTCAAGTTTTCTGGCTTTTCTAAAGGAAAGTCGGACATTTGTATATTGTGGGCCATTAATGAGTCTTTCTCTATTTGTATTCTCATATTCTTCTTTACATAGTTCAGATACAGAGATCCCAAACTCAGTGCTGTTTGGTCAAGTTCAACTTTGAGTGACCTCCATGAGTTTCTTAGAGTGAAAATCTCTGCAGGAGGAGACTGCCCATCTTTCTTCCTTAGAGCAGCTGATGGATTTGGACCATTGACTTTCTGGCTACAGATTGACAAAGATAGTTAAATTTATGTATAACTCACCTTGGTAGAATTAATTATGAAGGTCGCTCCTAACAAAACAAACAAACAAAAAAACCCAAAACCCAAACAACAAACTTAGAAGCATGGCCTATTAGTATATATCTTTTTTTGTTGTTAGGTGCCATCAAGTTAACTATGACTCATAGTGACACATCTGAACCTTGCTCTATCCTATGCCATCCTCATCATTACTGACGTTCTTAGCCCATTGATACAGTCACTGTGTCAGTTCATCTTGTTGAAAGTCTTCCTAAACCAAAGGAAGATGTAAAACACACACACACACACACACACACACACACACTGAAGATAGAAGTATATATCATATATTTGGATGGTTCCATTTTGTAACTGCAAATATTCATCCTAATTTTATTAAAACAATGATTAGCAATGTGAGGAAGCTCTAGTAGTATAGTCCATAGGGAGTTGTACTGCTAATGCAAAGGAGGCTCCTATTTGCTGGTTCAAATCCACTAGTGACTCCAGATAAGCAAGGTAAACTCTTGTGCAGTTTACAGACTCTGAAAGCCAGCTGGAGGGCCAGCTATGAATTGATTCTACTTTGAAGGCAATGCATTTGCATTTCTGTAGTGTTAGCTATTAATATCCTTTTTTAGAGTGTAAATATAAGAATCTTCATTAGACTAAAACTGGTTTGGCCAAGTTATGAAGTTTATGAAATAGCCTTTGTAACCTCTTTGTCTTAGCCATATTATTAAATCTAAATCTGTTACAAGAAACAGCATGCTTCTGGAAACTCTATGAACTTTGATAAATGATGATAGTTATAGAAAGGCTTCAAGCCTTCTAGTCATAGGGTCTCTATGAGTCGTGCTCGACTCGACAGCAATCAACAATAACAATGGTGATAGAAAAATATTTCTGAGACCTATGAAGCTAATTCATTTGTCTCAGGTGAACTTTCATTAACTTCTTCGTTACTGCTAATAAGCCAGAAATGAGACCTTTTCACAAGCCAGTTAGTTATATTGGTGTAGAGTTATGTTCGTTATGGTTAATTGTTGTTCTTGTTATGTACCATCAAGTGAAAACCAAGCCATAACCAGTTTTCCAGCAGATTTTCAGAAGCATTAAATTACATGAGAGGGACTTTTCTCCTTATCTCCTTTCAAGGAAGAAGGTCTGTCTCTTTGGTGATGTAACTTTCTAATAAAGCTATCATTACTATTTACCCTAAAAAAAAAATGGGAGGAGATTGTTCATCCTTTTTCTGTGGAACAGCTGGTAGATTTGAACCATGTGCCTTTGGGATTGCAGCTAAGTTTCTTACCACTAGGCTACCAGAGTACCCTAATGGTTAATTGACGCTGGTTAAATTAATACAAACCTAGACCTGTAACATGAAAAAAAAATATTCACAGAATTGAATGGAGAAATAGGTTGTTGTTGTTAAGTGTTGCTGAGTCATAAGCCCTATGAATGAAAGACTTGAACACTTGTATAACTTTCATCCTTTCTCCAGGTTTATCGGGTTTCCAGAAGCAAGCTATTTCAGAAATGTGTGCCATTCCTTCTTCCAAGCGTGTTTTAATCAGGGAGCTCCACTAAACACTGTCCACCATGGGTATCCATTATCACATTTGACACATCAGTGTCACAGTGTTCAGCATCGCAGCAAATATGAGTTGCGTCTGTATAGCAAGTGGATAGACCAGGGCTACATGAACTAGAAGAATGTTTGACCAAAAACAATTAAAAACAGGCCTGAGAGCCACAGATTAAAGTCACCGACCTTTGGCTTGATTGCATCACTTTCTGTCCACTAGTGCAGCTGATCTCTCTCTGTGCTGTTGTTGTTAAGTGCCGTCGAGTCATAGGTGACTCATAGTGACCCTATGAATGAAAGACCTGAACACTTGTAT